CCGTGACAGACGATGACGGGTGCACTGCTTACAACTGGCATCGAGTACACGTCCTCTTACTTAACAGCATAGTAGGACAGCGCTAACGACATACTCATTGGCTCTGTTAAGTGGAACAATCATGCTTATTGCTGTTTTATGGTAGGGCGTTGGAGTAAATGGGAGATACATTACTCAGTGAACCTAATGTAGTTGGTCTGTTTATTTATAGTGGGGTGATAATTTATTTTCAGTTTTCCTGTTATGATGTTAGTATCCGTACAATACGCGTTTGAAGTTAACTGTCCAGAAAAGTGGTGCAATGTAACGGTAGGCAGCGCTCTGGGTTGCGCACGAGCACACGCCGCGTCCGCGCCTGCGCCTGCGTCGACCCTTTCACTCCTCATTATTCTCAGAATTCGTCAATACGCAGAAAATTTAATTCGTTAAAAGCAAAAAACAATATGCCATTCCTACAAAACGAGTATATGATCATTTCAAACCTGACTAGGAATGTAGGTACAGCATTTTCATCGTTTTGAGTGTTAGTTAATATGAGAATATGTTATAACGCTTAAAGTTTTTCCAAATTTCCATTTAAACTGCTAGGTAAATGCTTAGTAGTAAACGGATATTGTTAAGTTTAAAATTATGTCACAAGACAATGGCATATAAACAGTATAAGTGTAGGCCTTCGTTGTTTCGTTTAGTTAACTAAAAATTTTTTCATGAAAGTCAAGAAAATCGCTAAACATTTATCAACTCAAATAGTAGTAAATTTCAAAACGCTGGTTCATTAATTTCCAGACGGATCATGATGTACAGTTGCGTGGCAGAGCCGACTGTTACCAGTAATGAGAATTCATAGAGTATGCGTAAGACCGACCGAGACTGTACCATATTGTGTGCATATTAGGACTGCAATAATGATGGAAAGATCGATTTCATATTATCCGCATACGGCAGCTTGCGACCCGGTCTCGTAAATACAATCTAGTATCGCGTCAGTGATACATCCTTCGATACCAGATGAAATATGAATCCGTAAACCCTCAAGAGTTATGATGTATGATATTGAGGTATAGAAACGAATTGGATGCAAATTGGTATCCAAGTAATAGCCAAGGTGCAGTTAATCTTTGTATAGTAAGTACTGGTACTATTGCTTCGGATATGCATATTAGCCTAACTTATCAATCTTACTTAACATGTTATTGACCGGAGTATTTTATTGATGATCTCTGTCTCAGTAATGCATTAATGTTATTAGACATTGGTGATGTTGTCTTTTCGACTGTTGCGGATTGACCACAAGGAAATCACACAGCGGACTGTAATGACAGCAACACGTACGTGATAGATTCGATTTACAGGTTCACTTCAATCTGCACGGCAGTAGGTGCGCGCGGAAAATTGCCTTGTGGCTTTACGGGTGTCCGCAGGATCGAATTCGCGATATTGATTGCATACATATAAAACATCAAATAGTGGCAACAAATCTCGTTTTCACTTATTGGACTCGTTTGCAAGATAATGATTGTTAACTCTACAATACACTCAGAGCGATTGAATGGTATTAGGTGCGTGCCCACAATTTCTACGATAGATGGACTATTGTGTTGTGGTATGCTATTTGTCATAAAACTTCAAAGATTCATGACGCTGTGGATAATGGGTTTCTAGTTTAATTTTATGACACACCTGACGTTTACCTGCGATAGTATAAATAAAATACATAATGGTATGGTATACCATTTGGCTGTTTATGTTATTCTACCACGAAACAAACAATGATTAGATCTTATTATGAGTTACATGATAGATAAATAATGTATCTATTAATATATATGTAGAACCAGAAACAGTTATCAGCAATGGTTACATTACAAATAAACAACTTAGTGATTAATGATAGTCGCCATAAGATTATGCATTGAATTCTCTTTCGGTTGTTTTCAATTCTCTCTGGCCATTACACAATAATGTTTCAGTTCGATTAAGGTGCATTTATCACTTATATTTCGCTGTCGTATTCAATTTAAACGCTATGAAGATGACCGTTAGTCGGGTGTCCGCGACTGGAATTAGGAAGTAGAATACATAATATATGTAGATGAAATCTGTGCATTCCCTTCCCTCTACTTGCGTCGAGAAACGCAGTGACGAAATTATGTAAGACATCGGTAGTTACTAATTGGTAAGTGGACGCCACCTGTATTCTGTACGTACCGGTCCAAGACTAACGGGCCTTTATAAAACTCGTTACCGAACAAATTCATAGAGCTGGCAATAACGTTTTAAAAACATGTAATTATCGAATGGGCATCATAAATCAGTAGCCTGTCGTAAATAAATGAGTACGTTGTATACAAAGTGATTTAAATTAAGGCGATGATAACTCTATTATGGAATTTCTCAAAGTTGTTTTGTGCCTCCAAAACTAATGATCCATCTTTATAAATTTCTGCCTGCTATAAAAATATTACGAAGGCGGCGTCTACATACCATTCCTAATAAGCGATGTATTATTGATGTTCTTAAACTTGTCCTACATTTCTGTGCCTAATAGGAATCCACATTTTTCTGTTATAAAAGTCATGTAATAGGATTTATACGAAAACTATAATTTTACAGTGTTATGTTTGTACAAACAATCGAGTTACTTTACTATAGTGAGGCTGAAAAAGCGCTATTACGTTAATAACAATATGTCAACAAGTACTTAGATGGCAGCACGCGTGAGTAATGAGTTTCATTAGAAGCAGCTAATAAATTGTCTAGTCGTAAGTAATATATATTTTATTTGTAACTGGTGCGTTTAAAATCTGTTTACATGCGCTCTGGTAATGAATGCGAACTTTTTGCCGCACGTAAGGAGGCACGGGTATTGAGTTCGTGTTTGTGGTGGCATATTTATTACTAGCCTCGCGCGTTTTATGTTTTCTTAGCTCCGTGCATCTATCTATTCTATTCTTCTTTTCATTCCTTTTATTTAATTTAAATTTTATTAGCTGCTACATCTACTTTTCTTGACTTGTTTATGAAGCTTATACTTTGTTCCTGGATGTTAAGCTTAGGCTACTTACGTGTAAAATACAGAAACTCTCTGTGAGTACTCTTTAGTTGTATGAAAAGCCTTATTTCTTGTCAATTGAATAATTTACTATCGTGGAACGGGTAATGAAGTTTGTAATTGTAGTAAAGTTTGGGCACGTAGAGCAGGCGGGCCGGCATTTGTTACGAGGCGCTATTCTGAGCCGGGCGGGTGTGCCAGCGCCGGCGGCGACCACGACGTTGCCTCCGCCTACCGCGCACGTTGCCATTGTTACTCCTTGCGGCTCCATCGCACCCGCACACGATACACCATGCACCACCAATTAAAACTTACTTTACGAGCCCACTCTAACTCTTCTAATGAAATTATTTTATACCACATAAATCCCATTGCAATACAGTACACGACCGTGCTTTATGATAGTAAGAACATTGTTCCGACTCGCATTCGTAATACAATTACATCCAGGAAATCACGATATTAGCTGCACGTTATTTTCAACTGTTTGCATTGATTTTCTTAACAGTATCCTTGGTTTAAGTCATAACATTTGTTTCCATTATGGGACTGCACTAAGATGTTCGTACAAGAAGCATCACATTGTGATTGTCTCCGGCGAGCACCCGTTATGGCTGGGCGCCGTCAACGGTCATGCGTTTTGCACGCACCATGCAAATGTCCAGGCGCGAACTGCGCGCTATCTACGTCACATTAAGCTAATATGTAATTGATTGGTTCCCGGTGCACGGGAGCGGCGACACACTCCTGTCCCACTGATGGCGGATGCAAAAACACTAATGTTATAACGGTGAACCGTCTCTTCCGGCAAGCAATATGCACCTAGGTGCTTATCTACTATTTTAACTCTTTACAAATTGAACGACCGCTTTCAATCGGAGAGACAGCGGTCATGTGGCCTAAATTCATTCACTGCAATGTCGATACACAACGCAGACAACTGCTATGTGTATGCACGATATTAATCAACTTAAGATTTGTGACCTCCATTAAAGATAAAAACATCGGAATGAGAACATTCAGACGAGTTAAAAGTGTTAAAAGTGAACATTTAAAGTAGGACGAGATCAACAGATAATTATCGTATGCACTCGTAAAAAAAACCGTTATATCGTCGCTGATCATACAAGTGGAAACATTAACATTCAAATTAAAAGCCTATCAATTATGTTTATATGCGTTGTTTATATTATAAACTGTCAATCATTTCACTCGAGTGTTTAATTATAATGCCACCTACTAATAGCGGTCACGCCTCTGACAAAAGTGAATTTGTGCCGCCTAAAAACAATTAACTGACCAAAATTTTAAATAGTTTTTGTTTTAGTTGAATGATTAATGTTACTAATACATAGCAATCAACGACGGCTCGTATAGCTAAACACATGATTCATCTGATTAGGAGTAACGGTACACATTGTGTTATAATGGTCTTTTACTTGGTTTGGTTTGCGCCCATTATTTTTGATGCTCTACAATTTAAACGGCGGAAGAGTTCCGTTGCACGTGGGAGACTCTCATTGAGGATAACCATTGTTTCAAAATTCTTTATCACAGGAAATTATCTTTTGGTAAACAACCTGTGTATTTTGATATTTGGCTAAACTTTGTTATAGAACAAATAGGTAAGTACTTACTCTAATGACGGGTTCAGAACACAGTCTGCTAAACCTTCATAATCATTTACATTATATTATATTATTAAAATGTCAAAAGGGTCAACACACTTATTGACGTCTCATCGTAGTTATTTTACCTACCGTTATCAGCAATTGATCGAACGTTTACAAGCTTCTCTTAAGCACATAATTCCGTCATCCATCGTGATGTCCATTAAGGTACCCAATGAAGTAGGTAAATGATTTCTGTCGACAATATTGAATTCACCAGTCGTTGACCGACATACTTGGCACTAATCTTTAAATGTTACGCGTCTAGATTGCGAAGTCTAACAACCTGGTCGAATGTCCATACAAGTGTAATAGTGTTCTACAAGCACTTTACTCAGAACATTCCTATCGAGAATCTGGTCAGGTGCAAAAGTAAGAACGTTTTTATAGTGTAGGTATCGCGATAGTTTACCGGAACAAGCTCGCACGTAATTTAAGTGGAGCGATGTATTGCGGCCGCACGATGAGACGCGAAACGATGTCGGCGCGCGAATCCCGTTGGGGCGGACGCCATTACCGCCCACCGCATCGCGCACGCGTAGAAAAACCGACCTCAGTATAAAGATGTCGCGCGCAGATAACATTGGATGGACACTTGACAACACCGCCTTCTTGTCGACCTCGACATGTTTATCTTTGAAATCATGGCCTTACCGCGAATACCCAATTATGTTCACACAGATCCCGCCTTGTGATCATATTATAGTGCGGTGTATCCCGACATCTTTGCATGCAAGGCGCCTAACACTGCGACGCGACGATATCATAGGACTCCATACAACGGTCGTAAAACAGCGGCTGCTTTTACAAAAACCAGAAAAATATGTTATGTACATTTTAATGTGACATTATACGTACCGTTAACTAGGGCGTTAAGACCAGTTTGATAATATCTGGATACAAACACCTGATGTGAATCCCGGTACAGTAAAAACTTTCAAAGAATCGGCATTATTCTAGTTGATCGCGTTGCAATACGTTCTCGTCGGCTGCATTTAAATTAATTAAACTTGACTAATTACAAATAATTTACGTACGATTCGATTTAATTACGAACTGATTTCGTACTTATTTCTTTTATTAAACAAAACGTTGATTGAAACTAAACTCGAACTAATATTTTAAGGTAGTCTCCGCTGGAACTTGAACTTAAAGTGATTTATTGTTTAACACATGAAATAAACAATTAGCGAAGCAGTTAAAGTAATTGTTGAGTTAATGATCGAACTAACTCCTCGTCAGTGGGTGGTCCGCACTATATACCTACAAATTAATGCTAGTCTTGAGTGCGCCTTCGCTAATGTCACTTCAGCTTTTCTCCCAGTATTATATTTCTTAGAGATTGGCAATCAGCATAACGATTACAAGCGCTGTAACTCTTCTGTCAACTTTGTCTTCCGTGTGTGTAATGACTTTACAATAACTGCCCCTTGCCTTATAGAGCCGTTTGCTGTAACGGAGCATGTAACTTAGAAGGTAACGCACGATTTGTAGATATCACAAGATACTAGCAATAATGCATTAGTGTTGTGTATGTTAATTGACGTACGCAGGAGCCATAACTGAGCGCAGAACACTGCTATCACATACCGTAAGAGAGCTAAAGGTAAAACGCTATCTTGTGGCATATCTATACAGGTCGGTCGCTATCTATTGTCAATTAAAAGCCTCTGGCGGAGATCTCGACCGCCTTTTGCTTGTTCTATAGGATGTGCACGATTGCTTCCCGATGCATACCCTACGCCTCAGGGTGGATATTCCTCGGACATTTCCTGTATTACTACTTGTGTGCCTGCACTGAACTAATCTCTATTCTGATTGTTCTATAAATTAACATAAAATCTATTTTAGTTTAGATTTGAATCGTCTCTTGATTCTTGTTCAATCAGGAAACAATATAAATACGGCTGGTTTAGAATACCTTCGCTTTATATTTTGCTAGCTTTGTTCGAAGCTCCACCTCTTTGATATAGTGGCTTAGCAATGACTTGTTATTGAGAAATTACTGCTATTCCCCTGAGTTATTGCTTTACTGCTTTTACAATTGAATAAGTTTGTTAGTACCTACTACGCGCACGTAGTTGCAGGGTAGATCATATCTTCAATCAAGTTGTGAATTTCCGCGTTTTAATTATTCTACTATGGGCATTAACGATGTGTGCAATAATAAAAATTAAATTATCGGAAGTTAATTTATAAATGTAATAATTTTCTACATAATAATGAAGTCTATAATCAGTTACCATAACGCACAGGGATTACAAAAATGAGAGCGTTTTACATTTTAGGAATATAAAAAATATCGTTCAGTATTCCTATGCAGACATTTATGATCATTAACTTGCAATTCAATTCATAAGCTTCTGCAGATAGAACAGCAAACGAAGATTACCTATTAAGATAAGCGATTGCGGTGCGCAAACGCAAGTCTAACAGTGTTGGTAACGAGACTATCGTAATTGAATTAACACCGAAACGTCACGTGTAGTCTCGCGTTAGGCGACCGCCGACCGAGCCGCGAAAGTGATTCCCTGATAATAAATCTGATAACAGACAACGGAGATAATTAAATTAGCAGTAGCTTGACAATCATTGTCAAATAATGATTAAGATTTATTGTATTTTTTTTTTAATATGAGTGTGCTGTCTAGACACGAGTTAGTTAATTACAGAGACGCTATGAACTTTTGTGTTAACAAAATATTTGTAAACAAATGTTTCGAGAGAGTTTTGAGAAAACATTACTAAAAATCTTTTTGTTACGAAAATGCGGAAATCGTGTATGGAATTTATTTTTCTTTTTGTGTAAAATGACTGCAAATGAGTAGTAATTTTGTGCAAAAGGAACGAAATTGGCATGCCTTCAACCTACATGCATGCATATGTGCACGCTATGTGGGACAGTGGTTTCAATGGCAGGTAAGTACGAGGTATTTTCACATCTGTAAAACGGTAAAAAATAACAGGATAACATTATATACGAACCGGTTATTATACAATTCGAAAACCGTGATACAGACGCTTTTGCGTTTTTTAGGAATCCCCATCGATGATTCTTCCTTGGAACTTGTACAGCATGTTCTGAGAATGCCACATTTACTTTTTACATGTCATTATCATTTCAATAATGCTCAGGAATATTATTTCATCAACTCCCATTAAAGGGTGAGAAGAGGCCTTTGGTCAGCCTGTGTGTGTTTGTGGCCACTGTCACATATAATATGTTAATGATAAATGATGATGACCTCCCATTAAAACATACATTGCATTATAAACCTTAATCGCATGACTTCTTTTAAAAAACGGTATTTATTAGTACCACGTGACAGACGATTTTATTCTCACTAATAAAGTTATTCAGAAAGTTTTATTTCATATCTGTGAACGGTGTATTAATTCGAGGTAATCAATCATTAGGGCAGATTTTTTATTTGTAAACAACGGTAAATCGTCGGCTCACAACGATGAATCGTTTCGTAACATCCGTACATCAATTCTGGTAATGGGTGCTGCATTAATAACGATACACGCGTACCTACCGGACTATATCGGCGAGTCATTTAGTAAGTAACACCAGAAAAACTAACTGTACATCTGTTTGCACTTCGGTGCTTCTGTTATTTCTTTTTGATTTGTTTCTGGATAGTTTGACAGTATTATTAACAGTTACCATGCAGTAATGTCTTATTCATATACCGTTACAACCCGACTAAAACTCCTAATCACTTTTAATAATTTCAAATTGTATATTAGGTGTTATTCATTAAATATAAGGCTACACTAATTTTTATAATGGGTGCAATAATGGATAGTAGAACAATCTCTTCGAGACCGAAAGGTGTTATTTTCCTTACATTTGCTCTAAGTGCTTCCTCTACAGCTAATAAGACATAATGACGTGTTATTTCTAAAGATTCACGAATTCCGATCGTAGAAGAGTATAGTACACGGGGTTACTAACCTTGCAGCTTCGCAACCGCTACCCGCAGTCCGCCACCGCCGCCGTGCTGCGATCAAAAGAAATACGCCATTGTTAATTACGCAGTTTACACATGAATATATCATAATTATGACATAGTGAATTATAGTCAGGTGAATGTAATGACACACCAGCGAAGCGTGTTGTATGTATAAAGATGCACGGTCGTGATTCCTTCATTCGGTTCAGGGACTGAGCAAGGCAACTTCCCCGTATCGACTTGTAATTACGAACGTTCGCGCTTAAGAATTTCCCGGAATGTTCGCTGCAACCATAATTCTGTTGTCTATTTACATAAGTAAAGCCATTAGTTTTGAACTAGACCTTGCGCCGCGCCAAGGATGCAGCTGTTTACGACATGTCTGGTGATGGTAATGGCAGATAACCGCGCCGTATTATGTAACACGTTTCGTAACAGATATTCGCCTGAATGTAAAGTGCACATTACTTACTGCTTATGTTACCTTAATGTGTTAAAACTATGTTTATTTAATGGTTTCTCTAGCACCTATAATGTTGTTAATTAAATTATTCAGTCAATGTGTGAGTACGACTACCCCTTGGTTATCCAGGAGGCGGTAATGACCACTGAACTTTACATACATTATGCAAATCAAATAACTATCTACTTAACTTTAAATATTATGTTTGAAAGTACTGTTAACAACGTTAATTATGTAAACATTTTAGATACTAACCTAAATTTAAAATACATAGTCGGCGTCGTTAAATATCTTTGTGTACTCAATGAATTATGTAGAGTGCCGCTAACTAGATTCAAAGTTGCTGGAAATTATTTAAATTCAACATAGTTTGCCTGAGAAACTATTCTGCTTGTTTGTTGGAACTCTTCACTTTTGTATTCTGTGGCAATATGAGAGAGAATCACCCGATTTAAATATTAACTGTATCTTACTTGACCTGCACTTGTACGATGTTTGAATTAAGTGGTTCTACGAAAGCTTTCGGAAATTTGCCTTTTGTCAGGATAAGGTAGAGTTATGACAACAATAATTTAAGCAAGACAAATTGGGTAGGAACACATCATACTTATTCCGAAAAGTTTATATTGTACACAATGTAATCCAATTTGGTAACGACCATATTCGGCGTCAAGACATAATAATCTTGATTTATCGCTTAACAATAACTTCGAGTCATACTTGAGTGTCTGACAGACACACTGGTGTTTTGTTTCTTACTGCAAAAAATAATATAGATGTGAACATAATTATGACAAGGATAAAATAAACAGTGTAACCGTTTCCGCTTCAACTCTAATTAAAGTACAGTAACCGATAGAAAAACTGATTTATACACGTCACTTTGCATCTACCGACGTTTTTTAAATGGAACACATGCCACTTATCTTGTGCCAACTCAATTTTCTCAATCTGTTCCATTAATCAAATCACAGCACCTCTACATACGTTACGTCACTGGGCAGGCTCTCATCGCGATCCCACGCTTGAGCAAGCCGGACGAATCGTATCGCTAGAAAAAGTTACCGATCAGTCAGAAATAGTCTTGACTGATCCTAGTGATCATTGAACCTTAAACGGCACTCGGACTCCCATAGATTGTTTTATCGCTAAGTAAACACGCTCGACTGGCTTACAATCGCAATTTCACAGTCAAATAACAGAAATAGCCACACAAAACCAACCTACACGAAGAAACCGAGAGTACTTGCTAGTTTTTTCAAGTCGTCAAAAAAACATTCCCAGTTGTCTTGGAACAAATACAATTATATTTACAGTTACAACAAAAAGTCACGGTTTTTATTTCGATGTAAACGATACTCTTTCTACTAACTGGGTTTACATATTCGATAACCCGTTGATTTATCGTGAACATACATATGCATTGCCATAACGGTTGTACGAGTCTTTTCGAATGCTTTTTTTATTAATCTAATGTCAGTGTATATGAACAACTTTCAATTAGTTAGTTCCTAGTGTTTTCACTCATATTGAAAGTATCTTGAATATTCATGTCAAGTTTTAAATGTTAAACTTCAAATAAGAAACTTGATCGAGAAGCCACAATGACTACTCGTTATCGTTATGAAGATATTTGACGAGAAGATCGTCGAATTAAGACATCTCAAAATATAAAACTAATTGTGAGGTGCAATCATATTTAACGATACGTTTTTGCGTTCAATCTTTTGAACTTTTTTTGTCTCTTTTTTAATCACATTTCAACTTCGGTAGCCAATACTGGCACTAGTTAAGTATATGTTTTTTGTCCGACACTGTGGTTATTTGTTTAGACAGACAAACTGATACGTATCAGCAATACTTTTTATCGTGCTAAAATATTTATGCATCGTAACAGACGTTATTTTTAATTTAGCCTCATTATCGAGATCAAGCGATGAATAATACGATAGTGTGATAGTAAAATGTTTATGTCATGATTGATCTCACGAGAATTAAATCTAACATTTTATTTTAGTTGCGAGCGTTGTATTTTCCTTGGTTGTAATTAAAACATCAGTATTGTACAGACAGACGTAACCGTTATATTTGTGTAAGTTCAAGGTTCGCAAATCTATAATGTGGCGTTTAGCGTTTAGCTTTGATTAGTCCGGCGAATGTTTGTGGTATTGCTGGTCGGGTTGTGGTGTACCTGGAGTGAGCGGCGATACGGTTGGCGCGTCAGCGTCAGGGCGCCCGCACACTAGCCGCACACCATTTGTCAATGTCGTACCAACACTTTTCTCACGTGACCAACACCAGGAAGTATTTTTACTTCCATTACGTAAAGATCACTACTGAAGATGCCTTTGGTCGGGCATTGTAATCTAACGTAGTAAATTCACATTAGATAACGGCAATCGGACTAAGAACAAGGATTGTTGCTCATGGATTCGTGCCCTTCTTATATCAGACCTTAATCAGATGCATTCAATTCACGATTCCGCGTTGCTTCTAGCACAACATACCCACATTAGTGCACGCAGTTTAAAGTTATATACAACTAATGGAATGATTTAGTGCTACCCATAATGGTACTTTTACTAATATCTTAGCTATTTGTGGAAAGGAAGTCAGGTCGACAACCTGTAAATATTGACTCATCTCAAAAGGCACGCGCCTAAACATACAAGACTACCTGTGCCATATGTTCCTTCTCTAGAAATGGTCATACTTCCATGATGCATGCAGTATACTTCTTTTTACGATTACAGCAGATGGAAGAATGTTTCAATGTGCGTAACATTCCGGTCGGAAACATTGCCAATATTACGAGCTGTTTTCGGTCGTGCTCTGATTTGCGGAACGGTAATTGTCTAAATTGAAGGCAAACGGAATGAAGTTTGTTTTCATAACGGCGAGCAAATCACAAAAACAAACACCGAAATCTGCCCAGAAAATTGTTTGTTGTCTTTAAACCGGTTATGCGTGGGACCATTAGCAAAATAAATTCGAAATAGTAAACATGGAATAATTTAAAATAGGAAAGGAATTGCTTTATGAAACCTGTTCTATAAACGTGAGGCTTAACAATGATCTTCAATCCTTAAAGTATCAGATAACTAGAGGTAGTTCCAGCAGTAGTTCACACTTGTAAATCGATAGATGGTATTATCAGGATATCCACCTTCTCGAGGAACCTCCGTACGTCTCCGGCGGCGGCGCGCCCACGCAATGCAACCGTGTCGTGGACTCGCGCATAAATATTGCTTGCGATGCTTGTCGCTGAAAACTCGATAACTTGAAAGCTACTAAACGGTCCTCAGTCCACAAAACACTAGATTGTGTTGTACATACAAAGCACGTTTCAAACAATAGAGAAATAAACTATGTTCTATTTTACACCTCCGCCAAAGTCGGCCGAAAACATTCCTTACGTCATCTAGAGACAGTTCTCTTATCTATCTCGTGAGCTGTCTGTATATTGGACATTTTAAAATCTAAGTAAGTTTAGCTCGAAGCTACATTGAGGTGAACGGACCTAATGTAAAAAGTCTGTTGAATCGAAATATTTGTTTGGCAATGAGTTTTATATAATTCGATTAAATTTCGTAAGTCGGCCGTCGACCTGCGCGGGCGCAGAGCACGACGTTATTTTAAAGTTACGTCTACGTGATGCCACGCATCTCTTACAGCCACCGTTCCAGTGGACTGCATTGCTATTGGTAGATTTCACACTGATGGAAAACGTGATTGTGTCT